AAACGTGTTAGATATAGTGTAGTCACGTAAATCTGCAATCTGATCTGAGATGTTCTGTAGTTATGTGTCAAATCACATTAATCAAATGCACTGCTCTGTTGTAATAAATAATCTCACTGTTTATTTAGTAAAGTAGAGGATTATGCTATGAGTTTAAAGCTGAGTTTAAAAGTTAAATTAACTGATACCAACACATCAACATCTGTAACTAGGCTGCATTAAAAATATAAATTGCCGACTGTTGTTGTTTATCTTCAGGAAGAATTTTTGTGAAGGTCACTTCCATTCAATGGCTGATCACATCTGTATTCAAAAGCCTATTCTAAAAGACTCTGAATTTGGGATTTCGGGTCCATTAACGACGTGCCCAATTGAAAAATGTTTACCAAGTTTAAATGGGTTGTTTATACTCTGTGAGATCAGTATGAATATTTATCTTATTTATTTATGGAGGTGTTTTAAAGTTAGTTACTGTGTAAACTAATTTTGTAAGTATTCATAAGGTTAGATTAGTATAGGAATGTTCTTTTCATTTACTTTGGAATATATGTTCAATTACACTATATACTGTTGTTACCTGAAAACAGATTAACACTGAAAGAAGACTTTTTATGGTATTTAACGTAAATTATCATCAAGAATGTTTATTAATAAGTGCAAAAGTTAATATCAAGCCACTGAGCTGTTAATATCTAAGAAAAATCCTTTTAGCAACATGATTGAACGTTTTTCTGAAATTATTTGCTTATGAAAGAACTATGAGTTCAGATTATAAAATTTCATCGCAATTATTATGCTTAGAATACATTGGCCTATCGAATTGTAGTATACACTACTTATGTATGCCAATATAAATAGTATGTAATACCGATCAGAAGTGAAATACATGGTAGCAAAAGTTTAGAAGATCGATTCGAAGAAAATAGAAAAGGAAATAGAAAGGAATTCTGAATTGAAATAAGCATACAGAAAATGAAGGGTTTGCAAATGAAGCATTTGATGTATAGTTCTGATATTCTGTTCATTATAGAAGTATATAATGAAGTTATAAAGATTTTAGTTGACAAAACTATATTTTATGTACTCGAATGCAAAGGATCGAGGTACAAATTCACGGATCTATTATAGTCTTATATGATCGAATATATTCCAAAGAAGAAAGTATCTAATAAGCTCATCATACAATCATACAATAGAGTATACGGAAAAATGTTACCTTTATTATTTTTTACTTCTTAATCTTGTCTATGATGTAAAATCAATTTACATTTTGTATAACTAAGAGTTTTCTTTTTCATAATTTAATAACTGTCTACTGTATTTTTATTCAATAGTCATTAGTTACGTGTGAATAATTAGTTAATAGATTAAATTAAAGCATAATATAATTACAATAAATGAATCAATCATTGTCAGGATTGAATCTAGTTATCTTTATAGTTGGTACAATGAATAAATGAATGAATAGATAAGTAGATAACAAATTTTTAGATTTTTTTGATTTTCTTGATCAATCACACATAAGATTATTATCTTTGAATTAAACGCATGTCTACAAATCATTCTACAAAACAACTATAGTATTTTAATATTCAAAATGAATTTCCAAAGTCCTTTCAAGAAGATATGATTAATTAGTGTTAGGTGAAGGCGATAAAATGAACTAATGAATTTTAACTTATAAGTTTGAAAATAACGTCTTCTTCACAAAACCCTGAAGATTTTTTTAATTCGACAATATACGAAATTCTGCGTGTGCATTATAATGATATCTCAGGATGTGATCAAACGTTCGTCTAATTTCCAATTGTACCCAGTAAACATAAGATAACATTTGAAAAATGTTATGTTGGATGCCGCCTCAGTGGTCTATCGGTTAAGTGTTCTGGCGCAAGACTGTTGGGCTCTGGGTTTGAATCTCGCGGGGCGAGGTCTTGGATGTGCACTACTGAGGAGTCCCATAATACAAAGAAACGGCCGTCTAGTGCTTTCAGATTTTCCATGGTGGTCTATCTTCAATTGACTTATGATTTCAACTATGAAAAATACTGAAATCTCCACAAAACCGCTTCTGAAAAAAATACTTTCAATATGAACTGATTTTCACAAATTCTCCCAAAAAAAGTTTTATATTTTCACTGAACTATAATTTCTCCATAATAGACTCATGAATATCAGACGATTCAAACTTATTGATTTCTCTTAAAAGACAAAAGAAAGTCCTAGTTTTTCATCACATATATATTATACAACTCAAAGCTTACTAATTAAAGGCTACTTTACTCTTGACATTATCTTGTTGAAAGAGTTTAAAATATCACATTTTGAAATAGCTTTTTTTCCGTCTTATTCTGTCATTCTCTAAATTATTTTGATTATTTTTCCTCTATTTAAAACCTAAGCATTTATATGATATAATATAACTATTGTTAAAAGTTAATCATAATGAAAAACCATTGGAAATGTTAAAAGGGTAGAAAAGAGAGATTCAAAAAATGGACAGAATAGAAAAGAATCGAAAAATTTGTTCAATATTCTGTTTACAATCACTATAGAATCAATATAGAAGAAAAGAATTCAAACGCTATAATTTTTATGATTGATTAGTTTATTACATTTGTTTTCAAATTGATAGATAATAACAGTCCCTGGGGAACTAGTTTGTTCATAGACTGATATTTAGGCATCAGTGTATGAATATCTATGACGAATAAGAAAAATACATGTAATGTATCTCTTTTTTTACCGTAATATCATTTTATGACAATAGACAATAAAAAAATTAAATAAAACAAATTGACTCATGATCTCAACTAATGAAACCACTATGATATCCACAAAAACCCCTTCTGATATTAATCAACATATGCTCACTAGTGACTGACTTCAAGAGGTATTTCCTGGAGTTCTGGTGAGATGTTGTGACCAGTAGAGTTCAACCACGTCTGTTGTGAGATAGTAACCTACTGAAGACAGTGATGGATGTGTCGCTCAGTTTCGCGGATCAGTTGAAGTTAGACATTAACATCGTTCGATGCCGACTCAATGGTGTAGAGTTTAAGCGCTCGCGCGCGGGACTGGTAAGTCCTTGGTTCGAATTTTGTGAGGCGGGATCGTGAGTGCGCACTACTGAGGAGTCCCATAATAGGACTAAACGGCCGTGCAGTGCGTCCAGGTTTTCCATGGTGGTTTAGCTTCAATTGACTCATGATCTCAATTATTAAAACAAATATCTTAAAGAAACTCATATTATTTATGTATACCCAGTGGAGATTAGCTGTTTTATAGTAATCTTTAATAACTTTTATATTGTTTGATAATCATCACTGAAATTAAGTGATTTTATGTTTTAACAATAAACTAATTATTTTTCTGATACGATAAGTATAGTTATATCAGATACATTGAGTAAAAATTCTATGCAAATCTCTCCATGTATTAAATCATACGGAATAATTGACTGTAGTGTGAATGAAATATTATACTTTTGTACGACTCTATTCCTTCATGGCATGTCTGATTCAATTAACTTGATATTGTTTAAAATGAATTACAAACGTTGCTGTAAAATATGAAAAAGTTGTGAAACCTTTTATCATACTTATTTTTTTGCTGAACATTCGTTTGTATTGTCTACATTATACAATTAATTGAATTTCTATATCCAGCATTTTTATAATCTATGGTTGCATAAAAATATCAGAAATCGATAACATCAAATCCTGAAAAACTGATGAGACTTATTCTCATTTTTGTTGTCCATTGATATTCCTCAATAATTCAACTAAATTTCTTCCCTTCAAAGATTGCATTATGTCATTTTTTCGGCGTCTAAGAAAATAATCAGTATTGATTTTTATGCAGTTTTTAAAATTATTCGAGTGACCATTGATAGAAATAAAACTAGACTGGAATTACGAAAAGACAATCGCATACAAAATCTGGTTATCTAATCTTATCAATAAATTATAGAAACCGAATTTGAACGGAATAAATTGTACAAAATAGAATGGCTATACATGGTATACAAACATGAACTCCATAGCTGTTTAGGATTTGTGTTTCTTAGAATCAATCGACGGCCAACAAATACTTTTAATGAACGACTGTTTAAGTATATTGTTACATACTCTGGTGAATTATGAATGGTAAATCTGAGGTATATTATGGACAAATGTAATATGCCTATTTCCTATTGTATAGTTGTTAAATAACTGACCTAATCATATTCTTGTTCCTCTTATCATAACCTTGTGACCTTTGAACTGTTATTATTGATTACTTTCCCCCTATCCACAGCCACATTGGCCAATTATTGTACAAATGTTATTTTTCTATCTTTTGGTATGATGTGGTCTGTTTGGTTAGTATATAAACCGAGTATGCTTGTGAATAATGATTTATATTGCCGAGGCTGTTATTTGTGTTCTGGATTTAACTGGCTGGGCTAGGCAGAAAGCAGGGCCGATACGCACTCAAGACTGCTCGTACGATTTTATGTACCATTGCGCCGACCAGTAAAATCCATTACCTCTCTAATTGGACGTTTATATATTAAGCGGACATACGTTATAACATATGTTTAGTTCGTCTATAAATTAGGAAATATGGAACCCCATTAACCCTATTTTCAGTTAGATGAAGATAGTGCTACATCTTTAATAAGAGAATATCTACCAAAAACAGTGTGTTTATATTAGTTACTGATATGTCATTGAATGACATCACACTGTTTATTTATTTAAGTAAAATGTATTTTTACTAAATCTTAATGATAGATAAACTGTATTTTAATCCACTTTTGGCAACCATTAGAAATATTTCCTTGCTTCAAATCGGACGATGAAAAGATAGTACGATAAGAAACTAAGAAAACCGTCTGAACATTGTTATAACTGAGTTGTGTTTATTCAAGGAAACATCTGAATAACATAGTTTGTATTCACCGATCAACTTCAACATTTATTTTAATTTTTACTTTAAATGTTTTTGTTTTAAAGTTCCATCTGAAGCACCACAACTTGTTCAAATAACTAATGAAGGTAAAGGTCAACGAATAGATATTGGACCATCACGACCTGCAGTTGTTGATGACGGAAGTATTATGTTACTTGAATGCATTGCTCGTCATGGTAAACCGGGGGCATTGCTTACATGGTTTATTGACGGTGTTCAAGTAAAATTAGAATCGAATCCTGACAGTACACCTGGATCATTTATTTCTGGTTTCTCTGGTAATTTAACATTTCAACTTGAAGCATCTGCTAAAATACCAAGACTGTGAGTTTACTATATTCTATATTCTATATACTATATTTATTTTTGATTCATAAATATAATATTGATATTTTTGACTATCTAATGGCTTTTTTATAATATGTGGGTTTTCATCAACAATTTATCAATAAATGAGTGCATTAATTCACTAAAGATAATAACCTTAGTCTGACTAATTAGCCTGTTATGTGGTAACTATTGATTAAACAGCTTTGCACCATTAATTTCATGCAATTAGTTCTCTTTATGAATGTAAATAAAGCTAGAGCAAACATGGATGTAGAATAATATGAATTCATTATATTTCGTGGTATCTCATCAGCTGCTTACAACCAAATATGTATTAAAATTTTACATTGAGGTAAGATATAATGTGAAACAATTAACATAAGTGAATGAAAAGAATTGGAATGACAAATGTTATCAATAATAACTATATGTTTTTATAGAGTTGAGATCATGAGTCAATTGAAGCTAGACTACCATGGAAAACCTGGAAGCACTGGACGGCCGTTTCGTCCTATTATGGGACTCCTCAGCAGTGCGCGTCCACGAACCCACTCTCGCGGGATTCGAACCCAGGACCTACCAGTTTCGAGCCGAAGCCCTTAACCGATAGACCACTGAGCTGGCATCCAACGGTGTTAATTTCTAACTTCAACTGATTCACGAAATTGAGCAACCATTCACCAATGTCATCAGTGAGTTCCTATCTCACAACAGACCTGGTTGAACTCCACCGGTTACTGCTTCTCACTAGAACTCCAGGAAATACCTCAAGGAGTCAGTCACTAGTGAGCACCTGATTATTATCAGAAGGGGTTTTGTGGAGATTTTAGTATTTTTATAGAGTTGAGATCATGAGTCAATTGAAGCTAGACTACCATGGAAAACCTGGAAGCACTGGACGGCCGTTTCGTCCTATTATGGGACTCCTCAGCAGTGCGCGTCCACGAACCCACTCTCGCGGGATTCGAACCCAGGACCTACCAGTTTCGAGCCGAAGCCCTTAACCGATAGACCACTGAGCTGGCATCCAACGAAACGGCCGTCCAGTGCTTCCAGGTTTTCCATGGTAGTCTAGCTTCAATTGACTCATGATCTCAACTCTATAAAAATACTAAAATCTCCACAAAACCCCTTCTGATAATAACTATATGTGTTCAAGAACAGGTCGGGGGTCATTTAGTGTTAGAATAAAAAAACGTGAGGGGTAGATGATGTGAAGGTCAGAGACAGAGAAGATAAATTATGATAATTTTGGAAGTAATGAAGGGTTCACACAAGATTCCTGGAATTAAAAACTGGTAAAATGGGTTGCGTAATAATTGAACAGGACTTAAAGAGTTTACATAATTTAAGAGGATTGAGTGAGTGGAAATGTATGAGTGAAGGGGTGGTTTTAATGTACCTAAAATAAGAATTCGGTAATGGAAGAGCAAAATAACAAATCCTTTTTAAATACATGGATTAGGTTAGAGTTTTTTATCGCAATCGCTTCAGCAAACCGGAGTGAAGCAGTGTTTCTTTGTCTATTCATAATTTTGAAAGCTTCAGGAATGTCAATGATATGCCCAGTGTCAAGTAAATGCAGTAATAAATAAATATTCGACATTAGAAAAGAAATTCTCGATTCTTTTTCTCGTATAAATTATCCGTTAAGCATATTTCAAATTGAATAGATCAAGATGTATGATTTCTATTGTCCACAATTTTATGTAGACCTTTACACTTTTGTTATTTACAAGCTAATAACTTTTACACTTATTGCAATTCGATTTTCTTATTTCATACAGCTCAATAGTTAAATAAGAAAAACGAAAACTAGATTAATGTCGTCTAAAGATCACCATCATATTAAAAGACTTATATTTGAACAAGGAATAAGGGAGGGATGAATGCGAAATAAATAAATCATGTGTTGGGGAGATTAATAATGACAATAATAATGATACAAAGATTTGTGAATAAAGATAATAGAGACAATTACATTTAACTACGAAATGTTGTAAGTACAATAGCCAAATTGGGTTATTCAATAGCTAGGATTATTATTGATTAATTGGCCTTGTGGCTGACCAGGGGAGGAGGTGGGGTTAGAGATATTTCTTTTGTACGCATAGCTCTTGAAGATAATTTATCGAAAGGAATATTCTTCATTCAAATATTAGCCTTTTACATTTATATTGTTGTAAAAATAAGGATTCAGAGTAAAAGGGGTTTGCAGTCATAATTATAATAATCATAATAAGTACATTTCAATACTAATACTATTTAATCGTTTGTTTTGGATTACATTACTTTCATTATGATTTACGATCCATCATTTCAGTATCCTTTTTTGAACTTTACTATGTAATATATGTCAAACATTTTCTCCTAATTGTGTTGCAATTTTATTAGTGATAATTAAAAAAAATTTAATGTATTTCCCATGATTTACTTCACTACATTTAAGTTCTTGAACGAGTGCATGACAATGACAACAAAGTACAGATCTCGATTACATTTTATAACCAAAAGTTTATTCACTACCTCATTTTTTATCGCCAATTATATCTTCCTTATTTATCGTAGACATAGTTTTAAAGTAGATGTTAGTTCTATAATGGTCTAATGAATAAATATTTGGACAGACAAATATAAAAAAAGGACACCTAAACCAGTAAATATAGGTGTCTAGTTTGTATTCAATATAATTAACCTATTTTGATTCATTGTCAACACTGTCTGTTATAATTGATCAATATTAATTTTATAATTAGTTTGTATCTTATAAACAGACATAAATAAATACATGTGGTACATTTGACAAAGTGTAAAACGGCCATGTACTAAATTATGTTTGAAATTAACTTTTGATTATATTATTTATGGTCTAATAGAAATTAAGTAAAACTATAGTGTTCCATTGTGTTTTTTATTCAACTTTACATTGTAAACATCCTCTGAAATCCATTTTAATTACACTTATCGTGTAAATAATAAAAAAACCAAAAGATTTTTCAATGTATTTGGACTATGGTTAGTAGTGAAATCCAAGAAGCTCTAGTCTCGTCTTCTTCGGGACTCACCAGCTGAATACTATTTCAATTTCAGATAATTCGTCATATATCGTGATCCTTAGCCAGTGTCATCATCACCAATCATAATTTCTCACTAGAAAATTAATAGATTCTTTTCAAAATTGATTACTAGGGTGAACGCAATTCATTTTTTGGTGCGTGAAATGAAAGCTCACTTTATTATTTCTCGTTATGATTTTGTACTTGTGTTTGTTAAACATTTAAATAGTTTAAATGAGTATAACAGCAGATATTTGATTCGACTAGTTATACTGTTCTATGAGTGTAGTAAAATGAGATAAAAGAATAATATCGAATAAGTGACAAGTCAAACAAAAGTATTGTAATAGATCCAGAACAATGTCTACAACATATTGTGTAATACTTATTAAGCTTTCCTATTCAGTATCTATTGTTTCACCAGTCAATAGACGACTGTCATAAATTTCCAATAAATAACTAAGTCTATATATATATGCTTATCTTCTGAAAACACAACTGCATTTATTGTACATTATAAACTGTCTTATTTACAAACTATTGCTTTTTAACATTTCATTATCCTTCAATTCTGAGAAATAAGCTGGAAAAAATGATTGACTTTAAGGAGTAAACACTTTTACATCCTGGAAATAATAACTTTTTAAACAATTGTTTCGGCTTATATCAGAATTACAAGCTAGATGACTACATAGAATTTACAGTATATTTTCAGAAAAATTCTTATTATAACTTGACTCAAAGTTTTTCTTCGAAGTATATTTCACTGATTCTTTAACTGACGTCAATTACTGATAGACATTTTCTTTAAACAGTTTATTATTTGAATATAAGAATCCAATTCATACTAAATAGACAGTTATTTATTTCGTATATTTAATTTTGTACTTATCCTTATAGTATATATTGTATTCTTATACATATATATGCCTAACATTTGTAAAGGGCTGTTAATGAATCGATTGGATGGCATATTTTAACTGTAATAAATTATGGAATTTTTTTTACTTAAGTGTACATATGTTCATTTATTCGCATAAATTAATTAATATTATAATGTCTATAACAACTGCTGTAACGTTTTATGAATATAAGTGAACTAAAATGATGAGAATTGAATGAGAGAAGTAAATCATAGTAATTCACAGTATCTTTAGTATCTAATTCATTCATAAATTAGATTAATATAACTGGTTATACCAAATGATATTTCACACTAATATTTAACTATCTATCCATAGTGATAGAGAAACTACTTAGATACCATCAAATAAGTTACCATTATATATATATATAACATGAAAAAAGCAATTCTTGAATATAGCCTTAAACTTAATTAACTTTTCGTTACTTCTAACACGTTGAAACAAACGTGATGTTAATAATTATATCAATAAATCAATCACTATTGTAAACCAATAATAAGGTAACTATTCTCTTTATTATAGATTCAGACAAAATTGAATTACAGATATAAAAGTATATACAAGATGTGTGCTTTTTTATGTACTAGTTGCTTGTTTTATTTCTGTTCCTATATATGTTCCTTTTTACTACCTTTCATAATAATAGAAGAAAACTTTAAAAGCTTAAATAACTATGTAGACGGTGTATGGTAAGATTTTATAACAGTCAACTTCAATATAATTTGGAAAGCATAGGAAAATAATTTCTTTGGGCTTTGCATTCATGTCTTTTGTGCAGTTACACGTAAATTACGATTTTTTTGGATATCATAATAATGATCAATCACTGAGTAAAACTTTAGTTGTTATAACATTTTTTTCACTTTTATGTCAATCTCCACTATAGCAAGACTATATTTGGATGGAAGAATGTATTTGTAAAATTTCATTGAATGAATTTGAAATAGATGCAACGTTTCGTTAGGCGATCTGTTCCAAGCTTTTTCAAGGAAATATAGTCAGACATCAAGAC